GGAACACAGCTGGTGAAGGCCTTGGTGGTGGCAACAGTGACCCAGGGGTCTCACATTGCAAGATGGTGGAAGCAGAGAGCGAACAGGGAGAGACAGACTCTCCTTTCTCTTCTTTTAAAGCCCTCCAAACTGCCCCTGACCACCATTTTAATTCACTAAGGCATGGTTCTACAATCTAATCACCTCTTCAAGGCACCACCTTTCAATTACCATAATAGGGTTTCCCATCCTCATCAGTTACAGTGGGGATTAAGCTTCCAATAAATAAACCTTGAGGGACACAGTTCAATCAATTCACAGCACTAGGTTACCACTTTTAAACTAGAACACATTTGAGATGAAAAGATATGCTATTAATAATTATTCTGGGACACTAGGCATATCTTGACCCAACCAGGTTATGCGCCTACTATGCTATATAGCACCTCTCTTTTCTTTTTTTCTTTTGGCAGCTTTATGGTATGGGGATCCAAACCTGTGACCTTAACTATTGTAACTTCAGGAGCATTTGCAGCTAATGCACACTCCTACCTCCATGCCTATGTATATTTTATGTCTTCTGCCTAGAACTACATAGAATAGCTAAATCCCGATGTGCTTTCAGCTTATGTATTATCTTTTCAGAAGCCTCCATTGAAGTCTTTTCTCCACTTGCCCCTCTTGATAAATTTTTTTTACCTCTCCTCTGTACTTCCCTGTTTTTCTGTGGTCTTTACTATCATTGCACTTAGCCTCTTGAATTGTAATTCTCCGATGGCTTCTCTGTCCCATCTACTATATTGTGAGACCCTTAAAGTTAGGCACCCTTTTTCATTTCTGTATTTCCGGTACCTGCCTGTGCCTATTATAGAATAGGGACTCTGTTAATATTAGTGGAATGATGACAATTCTTGCTCTGGAGTATGGAACTGAAATCACAATTCTGGTAATGGCCCGGGAAAGAAGAAACACACTGAAGTGATTTTAGCAGATAAGAGTAAAAAGAATTTGGTCTTGGTGTGAAGGGAAAGTAAGGGAGTTAAAAGTGACTCTGAGGTTTCTTTAAGGTCCTGTATTTTCAATATAAAGTGTGTCTCAAACATTGTTTCACTACTTTTTCTTCATTTCTAGGACAATCCAATTAACATGAACTACTAAGAAAAAAATGGAATAAGTATAATATATAATTGCAATTTTGGAACAAGGAAATAGTGTGACTAAACATGACTATAAGCACTGTCGTCTTTACTTGTTTTCAGGGCTACCTATTCTTAAGAAACCATTATTCATCATGTCAAAAAGTTCTGAATATGAATTCACTTTTCCTGCTTTGTGTAATTGCTCTATTGTTTGAAAAGTCGTGACATCATCTTATTCTAAAAAAAAAAAAATTCCCTATTATATGCTAAGAATAGTGATTAAAATTTTATTTGGGTGATTATATTTAAACTAAATGGTAGTGTTTTAAGTTCTCTTCCCAGTGTTTTCTCTTTCCAAGGTAATCTGACATCAGGTCTTTTATGGCACCTTCCAGGGCAGTTTCATCTCCCACTGTGTCTCTTATGTAACTAGAACACTAGCTATGCCAAACATTCTGTGGATAGAGGAGAGGTAGTACCTTCTATGTAAAAGAATTGGTATGTGCAAGGCACAGAGACATGAGATTATGACTACTTGATTGATTCGATGATGATATTCAAATTTTAAAGTTTAAAAAACTTTTTCAATGCAGAATTAGCCTAGATTAAAATAGTAAAATAACCATTTGTGAAGTTATTTGAATGGTATTATTTCCTGTCAACTTATGGTTATAATTTTATAAACCATCATTCTCTGTAGTTTGAAGATGATTTACAGGGTGTACCTGTATCTTGGTATCAATTAATATCTTTTTTCTTTCTTATGTTTTTTGTTTTATTTCTTTCACTCTTCTTTCTTTTTGACATGTTTGCTGCTTCTGTATAATGAATTCTCTTAAAAAATGAAGTTTCTTTTCCACTATATTTCTACCTTCCTTTTCCCTTAGTCCCATCCTGGTAACTGGAGCAATAATCTCTTGTGAATGTTTTCATAGTTTTCTCCATGATCATGTAATCATATGTGGACACCCAGTTCCACCCTTCCCTCTACCATACACACAGTCATTAAGATTTTGAGATCATTACTTTATATAATAGAATCATGTCATGTACTCTTGTGTGTGTCTTGCTTTTCTTATGAAAAGATACATTGTACAAAATCTATTCAAGCCAACTATTTTTTGCACTAACTCATTCTTTTTATTGAATTTTATAATAGTCCATAGCATGGATTATACTACTACAATTTTTTCATATCTTCTGCTCTTGGATTTATGTTTTTTGGTTTCCATTTTCTTATCACTGTATTGTACTTTTAGGAGTACACAGGAGAGATTGCTGGATTGAAGGGTTATTTTAAATTTTTATAGGCATTAACTTCTCACAAATGTATGAGTATTGCTCTCTCAGTAACTATACCAGTTTACATTTCTAGCAATACTATTACGCAGTACCCTTTTCACTGTGATTCACCACTAGGTGTTATTCCTCTTATTATTTTTGTTAAGTGAATGTGTGTTATAAAGTCTATCACATAATTTTATTTTTCATTTCCTTCAGTATCGGGTATTACACATCCTTTCACATGTTTATTAGTCATGTGGATTTTCTCTCCTGTGAATAACTTATTTCCATTTTTTTCTTTTTAATCCTGATTTTATTATTATAAAATATTTCAAGTAATATTTTGTATATAAAAATAAAATATGTACCAGTGTACTTACCAGTCAAATTTCAAATTTATCATTTTCCCATAATTCTCTAATATGTTATTGTGATGAATTAAACTAATACATTTTTCTAATTTAGCCATCTCTGCAATCTTAGGATAAATGAACTTTGTCATAATTTTTTAAATGAAATATTGTCAGATTTAGTTTGCTGGTATTCAGTTTAGTATTTTTTTTTTTTTTTTCTATTTTGGGTAGCAACATTACGTTTTCATAATATCTTTGTCTAATTTTGGTATCATGGTCAAACTAAACTCATTTAATGTGTCAACTTCTGTTTTCTCTTTTTCTATTATCTATAATAGTATATATAAGGTGTAATTGTCTTTCATGTTTGGTTGAACTCATATATAAATCTCATCTAGGCCTGATGGTTTTTATTTTCCTTTTTTCTTATTTTTTTTCTTCTTTCTCTTTCCTCCTTCTTCTACCTTTCTTCTCCATTTTTATTAAGTGTGTAGATTCAGTTTTTAATGGTTATAGTTCTATTGAAGTTTCTTATTCTTAAATCTTTTTTTAAGTTATATTTTTCCAAAAATTGTCCATCTTGTCCACATTTTCAAATTTATTAGCATAATAATGTTCTAGCACTCTGTCTTCGTAATCTATAATTATGTTTTAAAAAACTTCTTAGTGTTTATCTGTGCCTCTTTTTTTCCTTATCACACTTGAAAAAAGACTTCTTTATCTTGTTAGTCATTGCAAAGAATTGTCTTTTATTTTATTGAATCTTTATTTTCTGTTAGCTTCTACTCTTCATCATGTCGTCTTTCAACTGTCTTTGGAATTACTGTTTTTAAATGTACTTAGTTAGATATTTAGATCATTGTCTGTTATTTTCTAGTGTAAGCAGGTTAAAGCTATAACTTTTCCTCTTGAGTATCACTTCAGTTGTATTCCACAATTTTTAATACGTAGTATTAGATAATCGTCATTCTTTATAAATGCTTTTTAATTTCTGTTAAAATTTTACCATTGACCTCTGAGGTATGTTGAAGTATTTGTAAGTAAAAGAATGAATGCCAGGGTACAGTTTAAAAGTTGTTACTGAATAATTATTTTATATGTAGCTTACTGAAATTATTGCACATCTGTAAGTAGACAGTCATGTTAATTTAAATTCAGAATTTAAATATTTGTTGTCAGTGTATCGTTTATGGCATTTCTATCCACAGAGGAAAAGAATGAAAGCATCACGAGAATAAAAATTCAATACTTTTTATATCTGTGAGGATTGTTTTCAAATATATAGGATTAAAAAATTATTTTTACATATTTGTTTCTGATTTAATTTAATTGGTTAAAGAACATAGTATGTATGATTGTTCTCTGGCATTTGTGGAGGCTCGTCTTGAGTTCCACATGATCGTTGTATATGTTTGTGTGCATGTATGTGTACTTGTGGATGTCCTATATGGGCTTGAAAATAATACACATTATTGTGTGGCCTAGGTATTCTATTGGATTTTAGTTCAGTGGTTTTCAACACTTTTCGTCTTGAGTTCCACATGATCGTTGTATATGTTTGTGTGCATGTATGTGTACTTGTGGATGCCCTATATGGGCTTGAAAATAATACACATTATTGTGTGGCCTAGGTATTCTATTGGATTTTAGTTCAGTGGTTTTCAACACTTTGTTAATGTACCTTCTAAAATATCTTTGAAAATATCACATACCCTTGCACATTTTAACTTGATATTTAAAATTTGTTATTGTAATTTTAAATAGTGAAAAGAATATAATTACTAGAGTTTTGTATAAAACTTGACATTTTAAAATAAAACTGTTTCATTATTCTTTTAAAAGTATCCAATGACTTCTAAATATTTTAGTGATTTGATACCCTCAATATCAATTAAAACACACACACACACATACACACACACACACACACGAATGAACTTCCACCTCCAGTTAAGAGAAAATTGTAAATTTGAGTCAATCTTTTTTCAAAGAGAACAACCAAAAAAACAGGGTAAAATGTTTTTTAAGAATCTGCTTAAAAGGGTCCTCATTTTTTAAAGTATGTTTAAAAAAAGGTATTTGATTAAGAATTTAGTTGTAATTGGTGTTGTACCAAAAGATTTCAACTGCTATGGCATTTTGTTCTGATTTCGAGTTGTTACTTCAACCCCAATACAAATTGTAGATGTTATGTAAATATTCCGTTAACTATCTGTAATCATTTCTTTTTCTGCTTCTTTTCTAGGTATCACACCTGTGTATCATAATATGTTTGCTTTAATGAGTGAAACAGAAAGGATCTGGTATCCACCCAACCATGTCTTCCACATAGATGATTCAACCAGGCATAATGTACTCTACAGAATAAGGTACTTTCTCCAGTAAAGTGACTCACTTAATGGTAAAACAGCAAAGTGAGAGAAATTATCAAAAATATTTTTCATTGCAGGGTATGTAATACCAGAGACTAGACCAATTACTTATCATTTAATCTTGTTCAAAATTTAAGACTGTGTTTCTCCACTAGAGGAAGTATTCATACATGTTTAATTAGAATGCTCTGAGAATAAAGGTGTTCTGGCAGGATGACACTTTATCATTTATGATTATAATTAAAGAAATAAAACAAGGATAAGAAATGGCCTTTCCTAGCAAAATCTTTCATGTTTGGAATATTGCTGATTCCACAGGAAATTTGATGTTTTGTGCAATAAAATGCAATGTCACATGTCTTCTTTATAAATTATTTTTGTTTTTAAATTGAAGTCCAGGAAAGATAAGGTTTTTGCCAGTGTTTATTTGCAGCCTCAAATTATCAGTTGATTTACTTAATAGTTTATGGCAATGTGTGATACCTATTTAGAGAAATCTAGAGGTATTTTTTTATTCAGAAGGATGAAACAAAGAAATAAGTGCACTATTTCTCTTTCCTTGTCCGGCTTATTTCGGGATGAAACAAAGAAATAAGTGCACTATTTCTCTTTCCTTGTCCGGCTTATTTCGCTTAACATTATTTTCTCCAGACTCATCCATGTTGCTGCAAATGGCAGAATTTCATTCTTTTTGATGACTGTGTAGTATCCCATTATGTATATATACCACATTTTCCTTAGCCAGTCATCCCTCGATGAACACTTAGGTTCGTTCCGTATTTTGGCTATTGTAAGTAGAGCTGTGATGAACATGGGAGTGCAGATATCCCTTTGAAATGATGATTTACAGTCTGCTGGATATATATACCCAGTAGTGGGATTGCTGGATCATATGGTAGTTCTATCTGTAGTTATTTGAAGCACCTCCATACTGTTTTCCATAATGGCTGTGCTAATTTACAGTCCCACCAAGAGTGTAGAAGAGTTCTCCTTTCATGGCATCTTTACCAGCATTTGTTATTCTTGGTCTTTTTAATAATGGACAGTCTAACTGGAGTGAGATGATATCTCAGTATGGTTTTGATTTGCATCACTCTGATGATTAGTGTTGCTGAGCATTTTTTCATGTACCTTTTGTCCATTTGTATGTCTTCCTTTGAAAAATGTCTATTCATCTCCTTTGCTCATTTTTAAATTGGATCTTTTTTTTTTTTTTTTTTTTACTGTATAGTTGTTTGAGTTCTTTGTATATTCTGGATATTAATCCCTTGTCAGATGTATAGTTTGCAAATATTTTCTCCCACTCTATAGGTTGTTTTTTCACTCTGTTGATTGTTTCTTTTGCTGTGCAGAGCTTTGTAGTTTGATATAATCCCATTTGTTTATTTTTTCTTTAGTTGCTTGTGCTTTGGGGGTCTTATTCATAAAGTCTTTGCCTAGTCCTACTTCCTGGAGTGTTTCCCATATGTTTTCCATTAGTAATTTTATGGTTTGGGGTCTTATATTTAAGTCTTTAGTTCATTTTGAGTTGATTTTGGTATATAGTGAGAGGTATAGGTTCTGTTTCATTCTTCTGCATATAGATGTCCAATTTTCCCAACACCATTTATTGAAGAGGCAGTTTTTTCCCCAGTGTTTGTTCTCGTTGCCTTTGTCAAAGATCAGTTGGCTATAAGAATGTCGGTTGATTCCTGGGTTTTCTATTCTGCTCCATTGATCCAAGTGTCATTTTTTATGCCAGTACCATGCTGTTTTGGTTACAATAGCTTTGTAATATAATCTGAAGTTGGGTGGTCTTATGCCTCTGGCTTTATTTTTGTTTTTGCTCAGGATTTCTTTGGCTATTCAGGGTCTTTTATTGTTCCATATGAATGTTAGGATTGCCTCCTCTATTTCTTTGAAGAATGTCATTGGTATGTTGATGGGGACTGCATTGAATCTGTAGATTCCTTTGGTAGCATGGACATTTTCATAATGTTGATTCTTCCCATCTACAAGTATGGTATGTCTTTGCACCTTTTTCTGTCCCCTTTAATTTCTTTCAGTAGTGTTTTGTAGTTCTCATTGTAGAGATCTTTAACCTCCTAGGTTAAATTGATTCCTAGGTATTTAATTTTTTTGGCAATTAATGTAAATGAGCTTGCTTTCTTGATTTCTTTTTCTGCTAGTTCATTACTGGAGTATAAAAATGCTATTTATTTTTGGGTGTTGGGTTTGTATCCTGCCAAATTACTGAAATGGTTAATCAGCTTTAAGATTTTTTTGGTAGAATCTTTAGGTTTTTCTGTATATAAGATCATGTCATCTGCAAACAGGGATAGTTTGACTTTGTCCTTTATAGTTTAGATGCCCTTTATTTCTTTCTCTTGCCTGATTGCTCTGGCTAGTGCTTCCAATACTATGTTATGATATTGACAATTGCTTTGTCATAAATGGCTTTTATTATGTTGAGATATTTTCCTTCTGTACCTAATTTGCTGAGAGTCTTTATTATGAAGAGATGTTGAATTTTGTCAAATGCTTTTTCTAAATCTATTGAGATAATCATATGGTTTTTATCCTTGATTTTATTGATATGTTGTATCACATTTACTGAATTGCATATGTTGAACCATCCTTGCATCCCTGGGATGAATCCCACTTGATCATAGTGTGGAATTTTTTTGATGTGTTGCTGTATTCTGCTTGCTAATATTTTGTTGAGGATCTTTGCATCTATGTCCATCAAGGATATTGGCCTGTAATTTTCTTTTTTGTTGTGTCTTTATCTGGTTTTGGTATCAGGGTAATGCTGGCCTCATAGAATGAGTTTGGGAGAATGGCTTTGGTTTCAGTTTTTTGGAATTTTTTGAAAAGAAGTGGTATTAATTCTTCTTTAAAGGTTTGATAGAATTCAACTGTAAAGCAATCTGTTCCTGGCTTTTCTTTGCTGGAAGATTACTGATTACTGCTTCAGTCTCATTGCCGGTTATTAGTCTGTTTGGGTTTCCTATTCCTCTTGGTTCAGTCTTGGCAGTTTGTATGTTCCAGAAATTTATCCATTTCCTCCAGGTTTTCCTATTTGTTGGCATACAGTTGTTTATAATAATCTCTAATGATTCTTTGTATTTCTGTGGTATCAGTTTTAATGTCTCCCTTTTCATTTCTGATTTTTGTTATTTGGTCTTCTCTCTTTTTTTTGTTAGCCTAGATAATGGTTTGTCTTTTATTTTTCTTCTCCAAAAACCAACTTCTTGTTTCATTGATCTTTTGTATTGTTTTTTGGGTCTCTATTTCATTTAATTCTGCTCTGATCTTAATTATTTCTTATCATCTAGTACTTCTAGGATTTGATTGTTGTTGTTTTTCTAGTTCTTTGAGGTGTAGTGTTAGGTCATTTATTTGGAGTCTTTCCATTCTTTTGATGTAAGCATTTATTGCAATAAACTTCCCTCTTAGTATTGCTTTTTCAGTATCCCACAGGTTATGGTATGATGTATCTTTATTTTCATTAGTTTCAAGAAATTTTTGATTTCCTGTTTCAATTCTTGGACCTGTAGGTCATTCAGGAGTCTGTTGTTTAGTTTCCATGTACTTGTATAGTTTCCAGAGTTTTGCTTGTTGTTGACTTCCAATTTTATTCCTTTGTGGTCTGAAAAGATACTTGGTATTATTTCAGTTTTTCTAAATTTGCTGAGACTTGATTTGTGACCTAACATGTGGTCTATCCTGGATAATGTTTCATGTGCTAATGAGAAGAATGTGTAGTCTCTAGTTGTTCGATGAAATGTTCTGTAAATGTCTGAGGATCTCATTTAAATCCTGTGTTTCTTTGCTGGTTTGTTGTCTGGAAGATCTGTGTAATGCTGAGAGAAAGGTGTTCAGGTCACCCAGTGTTATTGTATTAGGGTCTATCTCTTTAGGTCTAAGAGTGTTTCCTTTACATACCTGGGTACTCCAATGTTGGGTGCTTGCATATTTATGATTATTATGTCTTCTAACTGGATATATCCATTTATGATCATGTAATGGCCTTCTTAGTCTCTTTACGGGTTTTGGTTGAAAGTCTGTTTTATCTGATATAAGAGTAGCTACACCTGCTTGTTTTTGGTTTCCACTTGCATAGTATATCTTTTTCCATGCCTTCACTTTTAGTCTGTGTGTGTGTCTTTATAGGTGAGGTGGGTCTCTTGAAGACACCATATAGCTGTGTTTAGCTTTTTAATCCAATCAGTTACTCTGTGTCTTTTGAATGGGGAGTTTAATCCATTTATATTTATGGTTGTTATTGACAAGTATTGCTTTACTCCTGTCATTTTATTGCTTTTTGTTTAGATGTTTTAAATAGCATTTGTTCCTTTCTTTCCCTTTTATATTTCATCTTCAGTGTTAGTTGGATTTTTGAGATGACATGATTTAGCTTTTTTCTCTTTGTAGTTTGCATTTTGGTTTTAACTGCAGGTTTTGCTCTTACTTGTGAATTCATGATAGTGATTATCATTTTTCAGATTGTGGATGCAGGTCTCCTTTGAGAATTTCTTGCAGGGCTGGATGTGTGTTGGTTAACTTCCATAATTTTTGTTTGTCTGGGAAATACACTATTTCTCTGTTATTTCTGAAGGATAACCTTGCTGGATATAGAATTCTTGGCAGGCATTTTTATCTTCTTATTATTTTGGATATATCATCCCATTTTCTCCTGGCCTGTAAGGTTTCATTTGAGAAGTGCTGTTAGTCTGACGGTTGTTCCCTTATAGTTGACTTGACGCTTTTCTTTTGCTGCTTTTAGAATTCTCTCTCTGGCTTTGGGCTTTGCCAGTTTGACTGTAATGTGTCTTGGAGAGGATCCTTTTGGATTGAATCTGTTGGGCGACCTTTGGGATTCCTGGATCTGAAGGTCTGCATCTCTCCATATACATGGGAACTTTTCTGTTATTATTTCCTTGAATTGGTTTTCCTTGCCTTTTCCTTTCTCCTCCTCTTCTGGAATACCCATGATTCAGGTGTTTGTTTGCTTG